GCCCGCGCCGATCCCACCCGGGCCCTTAGCTGGAAGCGGCTGTTGTCTCCTGCTGCTGCCAGCCAACAGGCTGTGTCCTGAAATGGGATCAAATCATCACGGAAAGGTCGAGCAGGCTCTGGTGTAACCCTCTGCATAGGCCACCAGCTATTTTTTGTGTGACTTCAGGTATTAAGTTTTGAAGATCCAGACCACAAACCCAGTTCTGGTTGGAACCTAAAGTTGACAAAGCATTAAAACAACCTCTGTACCCACTGCACGTTCCCCCATGGACACGGGAACGGCTGGCTAGGCTTCTAGGCACATCGGGGAGTTGGAGAATAAGAAAGCTTGTTATCTTCCCCTTGGAAGAGGAGCAGTCACGTCTTCGTCTTTTTGATGTGTGCCCTTGGATTCTTGAGTTTTAGTTCAGACCGTGACTGCTGTCACATGTGTAAGTAAGCTGTCACACTAGTTTTTGTGTAGATCGTGGTTATGGCAGCACTTTTCTTACAGTCTTGCAGTGAGTCAGACTAAGGAAAACGTAAGTGCAAAACTAGATTAGAATAGGTGAGCTAAGAGGTATTTACTCGCAGCTTGGACTGGCAGAGAGCTGACCTGACGCGTGGCAGCGAGGACAGGCTTGGGCCGCAGGGAGCTGAGCTTGGCTGCGATGCCCAGCAGATGCCAGGGGGCACCTGGGCTGCTGCGGTGGTTGCCATAGGCTCCTCTGTGCTCGCGGCTGTGAGGACTTGGTGGCACTGTTGCTGCTGGGCCAGTCTTGTGCGTGGCTGGATGGGGGAGGCGAGCGGGGCCCTCCCCAGGCCTGGAGCAGGGCAGCCCTGGTGGGGGTCTGTGTTTTCATCCCCAGCTCAGACTTGCATCCGACTGGTGCTTGTGAACTGAGGGGCAGGAGGAGGAGGTGGTGCTGACACCCGCAGGACGGTTGGCCCTGGTTTCACAGTATGGAATGCTGATCCATCCACAGAGAAGCCCCATCCAAAACTCTCTTTCCTGCCAGCTGCTGTCCTTATCTAAACTGTAGCTAGTGGCCACGCGGGGCACGTGAGGGGCTTCACTAACCTGGGGAGCTCCGCGGTGGTGGGTCTGCGCGACCCGGCGCGCGCCGCAGTCTGCGACGTCTCCGGGCCCTGGCCCGCGTGCCCTGGCGCAGGATGAGTAACGTGTGCGACTCCTCTTTTTGCAGTCTGAAGGATGCGACGGACCTGCCCATCCAGTGTGAGATTTCTCCCCTCATCTCCTATGGAGGAGAAGTAAGTGTTGGCTCTCCAGAACTCTTGTGAGTTTGCAGACCCAGCTGGCCCATGGCACACACGGCCTGCTTGGACTTCCCATACCCCCAGGGTAGGAGGATGGTCAGGGGCAAAAGCGTAGCCCAAATTCACGGGGAAGTTTCCCACAGCAGAGCTGGGCTAGTGTACCCAGAGCCTCCACCACAGGAGGGCTTTCTGGTGCCTGCTGACCATGGATGAGCAGCCATCAGCTTCCTAACAAGCCCCTTCTTGCCCCGTTAGGACCTGGAAAAGTACGTGAAGGACCGGGAGTTTCGTGCACCTTTAATAATCGACGAGAACGGGATCCACGAGCTGGTGAAGAACGGGCTGTAGTGGTCGGGGTGGCCCCATGGCGCCGGCCATCTGTTCCTGCTCATGGACTGTGAATTCGGACACATGAAGGTTCTAGCTGTAACGGGTAGGGGCTGGCCCTGCTCACTTCGAACTGGTGTGCAGAGGAGGATGTAATCCACTTGGGCCTTGGCATGTCGAGTGCTTCTATTTATGTGTTAATTTAAAAAAGCAAACACTTTATGGGTTCCCCTGCCACAAAGCACCGCTGTGGTGCTGCTAATCGCACGTCAGGCTACGAGCTTTTATTTTTAAACGTGTATATAGTAATAGTCATTGTACATGCAGAAGATTTTTACGGTACGGGGCTGGGGTTAATCTTGAATTTTTATTTTTCTCAGATACACACAACTATTTTTTTTAATGGGGTCCGTATCATTGCCTGTGTCCTCCCCTTTTTGGTCATCCTTTGTACCTTGCACAACTGGAAGAACCCAATTAAACCTCCGAGTTGCTCCTGCCTGTTGTCTGGTGGTGTTTGGTGCTGGGGACCTTCCTCAGGGGTCTGCTTGGTTCTGCTCCAAGTGCACAGCAGAGGCTGCTGCACAGAGTGGGACTCTGGGCAGCAATGCCAAGCGCGTCCGCTGGCACCAAGCACTCGCTTAAACTGCTCCTTGAGGAAACCAAGGGCTGTGCCTTCCTTGGGGCGTTAGTTCTGGAGCAGGTAGGAACTGTCAGGGCTCCAGCTTCAGCGCGAGGGTTTTTCCCTCGCAGCCCCAGGCACGGGGCACAAAGCTCTATCCCGGCAGAGTGCCCGGAGAGCGGTGGCTCCTGCGGGGCAGCCGCACGTGGGGCT